TCAAATGACCAGTATGAAATCAAGGTCAAAATCTAAAATGGCTGAAGACTTTTAAGAAGATTGACATTATTTTATCCATAATAAACCAGGGAATTAAATTTCAGTTTATTTCAAAAATAGATATTATAGAAGACCTAATCCTGTATATTTTGATAAACTTTGTTTAATTCAATTGAGAATATCTTGTCTATAATTAAAAGAAATACCTGTATGTAAAATATGTAAACACAATTACTTAGTTTTATTTTCGGTTGGACATATTGTTTATATTTTGCCATTTAAAAAAAACTGATATTAATTTTAGCAAAAACATAAAAATAGTTCCGAAGTTTATAAAAGAGTTGAACGTTGAAGACATAATTTTGATAAACGTTGTTTAATTTAATTAAGAATACTTTTTCTATAATTTAGAGAAATAATTAATTAATTATATTTTCGGGTAAGAAATATTGTTTATAGATTTGTTGAGGCTAACATACAGTTAAATATTGGGGATCACGTGGCTAAGTGGGTAAGACGCTGGCTCGCTAGCCTGGAGGTCGGGTGTTCGATCCCTGCATTGGCCGAGAAAGTTCATCCAGATTTTCCGGCGTGGTTCCCCCTTGTCAGTGATGCAGAGACGAAAAACCGAGGTCCCGTGTATACATTGGAATGCACGTAAAAGATCCCTTGGCAGTTGGAATTCTATAAAAGAGTAGGCGATAGTGCCGCTGCCCGGGCAAAATTTCCCTCATAGCACACTGTATGACGTATGCCCGTCTTCATTAGCCCAGCATATGAGCAGAACAGTAGGACGTTAAACCCCATTTCATTTCATTTCATTTATATTTTGCCATTTAAAAACTGTTATTAATTTTAGTAAAAGCATAAAAATAGTTCCAAAGTTTATAAAAGAGTTGAACGTCAACACACTACTTTGGTCGGTCATGTTGAGGCTAACGTACAGTTGAATATTTTTTATGTCATGCTAAGGAAATGAAATGAAATGGGGTTTAACGTACTATGCTCCGTCAGCAATGCTAGGGAAATGAAATGAAATGAAATGGGTGGTTTAACGACCTACTGTTTTGCTCCTAAACTGTTCTAATGAAGACGGGCATACGCCATACAGTGTGCTATGAGGGAAATTTTGACGGGCAGCGGCGCTACGGCCTACTCTTATATCGAATTCCAACTGCCAGGGGATCTTTTACGTGCACGCCAATTTGTACACGGGACCTCGGTTTTTCATCCCATCCGAACGACTAGACAGCTGTCCTTGTCAAGCCTCCCGTCCTGCACCACTGACAAGGGGAAACCACGCCGGAAAATCTGGACGAATTTTCTCGGCCAATGCAGGGATCGAACACCCGACCTCCAGACTAGCGAGCCAGCGTCTTACCCACTTAGCCACGTGATCCCCGCAATGCTAGGGATTACACTTGTGAATCTGTTGGTTTTTGTTTTGTTTTTATCATCCGAAAGACTAGGCAACGCTATCAATGCCTGACAAGTGGAAAAGGAAATGAAATGGCGTGTAATATCTTAATTTTCTGTACTAACGAGGAAAAAATGAAGATGGGCAAACACAATTTATTGTGCTATGAGGGAAATGGCAAATCTACATTGGATTCTACACTGTCACTTAAAGTGCGAACATAATCTAGGTTCAATTCCTTGTTTTGTTTTTAAAATAAAGAAACCACTCTGAATGCCTCCCCTACCTCCATCTCCCCAAAAAAGGAGGAGAGAGGAACGGTCATCAATGGTTAGAGAAATCATCTGAGCTAATAATTTCATCCAACCCGCTTCACGCTCAGAAGGGGAGGCTTTGTATCATCCTCGTGGTTTACGATCCAGTCAAATTTGACTGACGTCCAAGCGAAGCATACTTTAGAAATGATCCCTAACAGTATGATCTTAAGAAACAATGTGCGTGAATGACTAGTATGAAATCAAGGTCAAAATCTAAAATGGCTGAAGACTTTTAAGAAGATTGACATTATTTTATCAATAATAAACCAGGGAATTAAATGTCGGTTTATTTCAAAAATAGATATTATAGAAGACCTAATCCTGTATATTTTGATAAACTTTGTTGAATTCAATTGAGAATACCTTGTCTATAATTAAGAGAAATACCTGTATGTAAAATATGTAAACACAATTACTTAGTTTTATTTTCGGTTGGACATATTGTTTATATTTTGCCATTTAAAAAAAACTGTTATTAATTTTAGCAAAAACATAAAAATAGTTCCGAAGTTTATAAAAGAGTTGAACGTTGAAGACATAATTTTGATAAACGTTGTTTAATTTAATTAAGAATACTTTTTCTATAATTTAGAGAAATAATTAATTAATTATATTTTCGGGTAAGAAATATTGTTTATAGATTTGCCATTTGAATAACTGTTATTAATTTTCGCAAAAACATTAAATAGTTCCGAAGTTTATAAAAGAGTTGAACGTCTTGTCAACACAATACTTTGGTCAGTCATGTTGAGGCTAACATACAGTTAAATATTGGGGATCACGTGGCTAAGTGGGTAAGACGCTGGCTCGCTAGCCTGGAGGTCGGGTGTTCGATCCCTGCATTGGCCGAGAAAGTTCATCCAGATTTTCCGGCGTGGTTCCCCCTTGTCAGTGATGCAGAGACGAAAACCGAGGTCCCGTGTATACATTGGAATGCACGTAAAAGATCCCTTGGCAGTTGGAATTCTATAAAAGAGTAGGCGATAGTGCCGCTGCCCGGGCAAAATTTCCCAAATACTGTATGACGTATGCCCGTCTTCATTAGCCCAGCATATGAGCAGAACAGTAGGACGTTAAACCCCATTTCATTTCATTTCATTTATATTTTGCCATTTAAAAACTGTTATTAATTTTAGTAAAAGCATAAAAATAGTTCCAAAGTTTATAAAAGAGTTGAACGTCAACACACTACTTTGGTCGGTCATGTTGAGGCTAACGTACAGTTGAATATTTTTTATGTCATGCTAAGGAAATGAAATGAAATGGGGTTTAACGTACTATGCTCCGTCAGCAATGCTAGGGAAATGAAATGAAATGGGTGGTTTAACGACCTACTGTTTTGCTCCAAAACTGTTCTAATGAAGACGGGCATACGCCATACAGTGTGCTATGTGGGAAATTTTGACGGGCAGCGGCGCTACGGCCTACTCTTATATCGAATTCCAACTGCCAGGGGATCTTTTACGTGCACGCCAATTTGTACACGGGACCTCGGTTTTTCATCCCATCCGAACGACTAGACAGCTGTCCTTGTCAAGCCTCCCGTCCTGCACCACTGACAAGGGGAAACCACGCCGGAAAATCTGGACGAATTTTCTCGGCCAATGCAGGGATCGAACACCCGACCTCCAGACTAGCGAGCTAGCGTCTTACCCACTTAGCCACGTGATCCCCGCAATGCTAGGGATTAAACTTGTGAATCTGTTGGTTTTTGTTTTGTTTTTATCATCCGAAAGACTAGGCAACGCTATCAATGCCTGACAAGTGGAAAAGGAAATGAAATGGCGTGTAAATATCTTAATTTTCTGTACTAACGAGGAAAAAATGAAGATGGGCAAACGCAATTTATTGTGCTATGAGGGAAATGGCAAATCTACATTGGATTCTACACTGTCACTTAAAGTGCGAACATAATCTAGGTTCAATTCCTTGTTTTGTTTTTAAAAGAAAGAAACCACTCTGAATGCCTCCCCTACCTCCATCTCCCCAAAAAAGGAGGAGAGAGGAACGGTCATCAATGGTTAGAGAAATCATCTGAGCTGATAATTTCATCCAACCCGCTTCACGCTCAGAAGGGGAGGCTTTGTATCATCCTCGTGGTTTACGATCCAGTCAAATTTGACTGACGTCCAAGCGAAGCATACTTTAGAAATGACCCCTAACAGTACGATCTTAATGTAACGCTGCGATCAAATGACCAGTATGAAATCAAGGTCAAAATCTAAAATGGCTGAAGACTTTTAAGAAGATTGACATTATTTTATCCATAATAAACCAGGGAATTAAATTTCGGTTTATTTAAAAAATAGATATTATCGAAAACATAATCCTGTATATTTTGATAAACTTTGTTGAATTCAATTAAGGATATCTTTTCTATAATTAAGAGAAATACCTGTGTGTTAAATATGTAAACACAACTACTTAGCTTTATTTTCTGGTTGGAAATATCGCATATATTTTTGGAATTTAAATGTCGGAAATAAATTCTAATAATCCTGGAGTTTAACATCTTTCTAAGACGAACAGTTAATCTTTTACTGTAATTTCCAATAATAACTTCCAGAGTACGTCAACATGTAACTTCACAAAATCAAATACACACACTGTGGTGCCAAAGGGTATAGAAAAGGAGGCAAAAAACGGCCATGTTTTATTCGACGTTTTTGTCTTAGGCCTTTCCGTACATGAGAATACCATTAGGCATTATAGACCATGACCATCACATCAAAACCACCAGCGTACAAGGGGGATCACGGTGGCTAAGTGGGTAAGAAGCTGGCTCGCTAGCCTGGAGGTCGGGTTCGATCCCTGCATTGGCCGAGAAAGTTCATCCAGATTTTCCGGCGTGGTTTCCCCTTGTCAGTGATGAAGGACGGAGGGCCTGATAAGGAGAGCTGTCTAGTCGTTCGGATGGGACGAAAAACCGAGGTCCCGTGTACACATTGGCGTGCACTTAAAATATCCCTTGGCAGTTGGAATTCGATATAAGAGTAGGCCGTATGGCGTATACCCGTCTTCATTAGCCTAGTTCACCAGCGTACAATGCAGATTCCTGTCCGTTTAAAGACAAATCATTTATCAATGGATGATTAGCGCATCACAAGATATTATATGTATGCATTTCAAGTGACACACGAAGGCGGCGAATGTTTTGTTGTTATTCCATTCATAATAACATGTCTGAAGTTAAGGAGCTCCATACAGCGACTGCAAAATATTCGATTTATAAAGTTTTTTTCATGCTCTCCAATTTTTCTAAACAGAGGAATCCAGATATTCAGCTGTATGCATTACCATGGGGATTTCCAGGATTTTTAAAAGACGCTTACGACAGACCGTGGGGTAATATACAGTCAACAGCTGATTATATAGTTAAATGGATCAATGGAGCACATGTTTATCATAATCTCACTATGGATTATATAGGAGTAAGTGTTTTTATTCAAAGTCAGATATCTTTTTTATAAGTTTGAACTCCCAAATTCCATCCTACCAGTCCCTTTAGCACCCAAGCACATTTAATGTATAGTTATTATATTTTGTTTAATATTACTACAAAATTTCTATTTTTGATTGAAGCCCCCCCCCCTCCCCTCTTTCACGTCAGTTTAAATAAAAACATTGAAAATATTTATCACACCTGACTTTTATTAAAGCTTGTGAACGTCTACCGGTCATATATCTGGAGGTAAATTTATAAAACCCATGCAGTTTGATTGTTTTAGCATATAAACATCGGGAACTTTTGACATCTAGCGCGGACGACTTTGCTGCTGATGGATATAATATGGGGCTTAATCCGGCTTATACACCCAGCTTGATTGCTAATTGATATTGATTTTCTTTCTTAGATCTGGAATGAAAGTCCATACAATATTACTTATATTAAGGTAAGTATTGACTCCATTTAGACCCCCCCCCCCCAAAAAAAAAAGGTCAAAAGACAGTCGCCATATCTAGTAAATGAATTTGAGTTTTTAAAATGTCTAACGTTTCTGCACCAACCGGGATATTAAAGTTGCAATTTCATATTTTTAAGTTATATTTTTAAGATTTATTAAAATAAAGCCTTAAAATAGATGGTATCTATAAACAGCCCTACCTTGTTAAATATCATTTTTATCTTCAAATTCAAACGTTTGAAGATAACTTCTCCATAGTGGAGAATAGAAAACAATGGTGGGAATTGTGTTATTATTTCCGGTGTAAATGAGTTTTAAGTGTGAGAATGACACCTATGATCGTATAATAGTGAGTCGACAACCTATGGAGCAAAAGACATAGAAATAATTATGTTTTGACTTTCTTAGAAAATATGAAATTGTAACTTTAAAGATGGGCATACACGATGCGGTGTTCGGAAAGGGAAATTTTGTCCGGACAGCGGCGATTCTGCTTACTTTTAAAAGTTTTAATCGATTCCAATTGTCAAGGTTTCTTTTACGTGTACGCCTATGTGTACAAAGGACCCCCGTTTTCGTCCCATCCTATTGCTATCCGTCCTGCCCCATTGCTAATGAAAAATGACGCTGAAATTTCCCGAGGGTGGAATTATCTCGGCCAAAACCGGGATCGAACCCGGGAACCCCTGGTGTTCGTGTTTACTCTCTTTAAGGCCTTGTAGCTTATTGATTATCGCTGTGGTCTTGATCCACAAATTATCCACAGTTTATCTCCCTTTTAGTATTACAACTTCCGGTGCTTTTCTAGAAAACTTCCTCGTGTAAAAATTATAAACAAACTGAACTAAACAGTAATGGTGAACTTTCCTACATGAATTCACCGAGAAAAACAAATTAAACAAGGACAATTATGATGTGAAGGACACAGTATTTATTTATGCCAGTGACAATACCTGCATTATATTATGTTCAGTGAATTTCATATCCATAATTACTTTTTTAGTGTATTTCTCTAAATGTGTAAACTGTGTTGTGTACTTACTAGTGTAGAACTAATTTGAACAAAATTAAACTATACGTCTTGAAATCTCGCTTTTCTCTCACGAATAGAAAGTTTTTCTCGACTTACAGACACAGTAGGGATACTCGCTTTTACTGTTTACGTTTACTGTTTACGTTTACTGTTTACGTTTACTATTTACATGTATTACCCTTTTTTACACATACGAACGTACTAAAATGTCAGATCATAACTCAAACCGTCACTTGATATCGCCGTCAATATTATCAACTCAAGGTAGTAATAAGACACAAAGTAGGCCTACTGTCTGATTCATCGTAAATTTTAAACGGATTTCTTCGATTATGAACAAACTACTTAACTTTGGTTATTATAAACTTACCAGTGTGTTTGTAATGAACTCCCGTTCGATAAAATCCATTGCACAACTAATTATCACAACGATGAGAACAATTTCTCTCTTGAAAAATTTGAAAATTTACTTGTAATTTCGACAGAGTCGATGTCAACAATGTCTTCGTGACGTATTGGTCGAATCCAATATACCTGTTGCAGGGGTTGGTTAACATTGAAAGATAGTTTGACAGCGCGATCATTTTGATCGTATATGGGTTTGGGCGACGAAAAATATCAATTGAAGGCAATTACATAGGAGATTTATATGGAAACCATTGATCGCCAGTCTATCAAATTTTCTTCACAATTAAAATATCACTGATTGCACGGATACTCGTAAAAATAAAGTCATTAATAAACTATAAATATCCTATCTTCTTTATGTTATAAATAATTTAACAAGGATCATGAAGCTTACCTCCGAATTCTCTGAGTGTATTTTTAATTTTATACGCATTCTTTCGATCGAATAATAACCGCTTCAGTAACATCTTTAAGCGTGTTGCGGCAGCCCTCAGCGTGTCTATTGCCGTATTGGGTGCCCGGGTGGGTATATAATGCTACTAAGCCCGTATGACCCCGTAAGAAGCGGAACATTAATTCTCGATTCGACAGTTTTGACCGAAGTGTGATAAAGCCCGTAAAACGAATGTATAGTTGTGTTTGTGCGGCATGCGTGTTCAAAAGTAAATAATCCCATCCGAGTCGCTAATCAAATAATTAGAACAAAATATTTCAAAAAGTAAAGCTATAAAATTTGCAGAGATTTTACTAGAATGTAAAAGACGGTAACTAAATACAGGAATGCGGGTAGTTATGTGTGCGAACGCTCAAACTCAATGCCAATTGTCGTAGGTATCCAGACCACTCGGACCAAAGACTACTCGGACTAAGACCAGTCGGACCAAAACAAGACCAGTCGGACCAATTAAATTATATTATAAGGCTAGACAATATGCTATTTATTTATTATTAAATCACAATACAAAGAAGCAAATAATTCTTATACGGAATTCTTATATTTAGAGTTGTTTGGTTCAATTTTGTGTACGTAAATGAATCAACGATTAGTTTTAAAATTAATTAATAATGGTGCCAAAAAAAAATATCAATCTAATTTTTCTTTACTCTTGCAATGAGACTCGGTATGTCCAGACTTTTGACAGTTTCTACATATACGGGTATACTGTTCTTGTCTGATAGCCTAATTTTACTTTTTCCACATTCGCGGTATCCCCAGTGGTTTCATTCCGTTCTACCCCACTAACCCCTGGGTTACTATATATGGGGGGGGGGGGGGTGGAGACACGTTTTCAAGTTATCCGCCCTTGATGCGTTAATATAGACAGCACATAATAATACGAAGACCGGACGTTTATATGCCCCTTTTTAAACGTGACTACAAGTGTGGTTCTCGATATTTTGCGATTTGGAATACAATTATCAATTTATTCAAACAACACGTTATTATTAGTTCGAGTAGTCATATTAAAACACACACAATTATCAATTTATTCAAATAACACTTTATTATTGGTTCGAGTAGTCATATTAAAATAAACACAATTATCAATTTATTAAAATAACACTTTATTATTGGTTCGAGTAATTATATTAAAACAAACGCAATTATCAATTTATTAAAACAACATTTTATTATTGGTCCGAGTCGTCTTTCTGTTGGGTCCGAATAGTCTTTTTGTATGGTCCGAGTAGTCTATTTGTTTGGGCTGAGTGGTCTATCACTTGGTCCGACTGGTCTTGAACCGAGTGATCTTTGGTCCGAGTGGTCATGGATTCTTGTCGTAATTGTACTTGAATTTCCTATGCTGTCACCCCTAATACGAAATGATATCTTCCGCAGAGTGACGTAACCATCTTCCATATTGGTATTTTTCTCTGGGAAAAGTTTGTGATATTTCAATTTTTCAAGAGAGAACTTGTTTTCATCGTTGTGATAATTAGTTGTGCAATGGATTTTATCGAACGGGAGTTCATTACAAACACACAGGTAAGTTTATAATAACCAACGTTAAGTAGTTTGTTCATAATCGAAGAAATCCGTTTAAAATTTACGATGAATCAGACAGTAGTACTCCTTCATACCATACACGTAGTGAAAGCCACAGTAGCCACTCTCTGAAAGTTAAAGCCGAGATGGCACGATTAAAGGCACAACATACTCTCAAGAATGCTGAATTAGCCAGAAAGGCAGCAGACCTTGAGGCTGACCGTGCAAAGGAAAGGGCTTGGCAGGCTGTGGAAATTGCTAATCTAGAAGCTGACATCTATCAAGATATTCTTAACAAAGAACAATGTTTACGTGATTACCACAAACCACCGTCAGTACCTGAAAACCGTCATACCTCAGATGTACATGTAGGCCAGTGGGTTATTAATCAGGATTTCAACTCCAACCAAACAACAACATTGGAAACACATAATGTTAAATCTCAAGATGGTCAGCATCACATGGAAACACAGCTCAGCCTCAATCCGTTTATAAGTAGTACTCCACTGAGACAGCCACCAAGAAATACAGAGTTTTCGACAAATCCATTTTTGCAAAACATAAACAATAACAATGTGCAAGAACCACCACGATTTGAAATGAATCCTTTTGCAGCACCTTATGAACCTATTACATGTCACAATAATAGTGATTATGCCACACCACAGGGCTATATACAGAACCATGAATCTACTAGTAGGCCTATAGATGCGTGGATAGACCAACTTGTACCCGGTCAAGAAACTGTCATACCACATAACACATTGACAAATACTACTGATCAATTAACACAAACACTTATTAAACTTGAAAGTGAGCGTGATCTACCTAAAGTAGACTTACCAATATTTTCTGGTTCACCTATGTCATGGCCTAAGTTCATAGAACAAGTACACTCGCAAATCCATTGTAGACCCGGAATAAATGATACTCGCAGGATGGACCTATTACTTTCACATCTTAAAGGCGAGGCTAAGTCACACATCCAGGGACTTGGTTACAGTGGTAGGAATTATGCATTAGCCTTACAAGAATTAAAGTCTGCTTTTGGACATCGTGTTAAAGTAGCCAGAGCCGTATTAGACAAAATTATAAGCGGACCGCAGATAGCACGGAACGACCCAGCTGCGTTACGACATTTTTACGTTTCTGTAAGAGACAGCATAACTACACTTCGTCAGATGAACTACATGTCGGACATAATGAGTAGTGAAATATTATTAAAGTGTATCAAAAGACTTCCAACTGATAAAATTAATAGCTGGAACGAATTCTCAAAACGAATTGTGAAATTACGTGATCCCACACTAATTGACATGCAGGATTGGCTATATGAGCGCGTTAATGCGGATATGAATCCATACGCAGCCACGTACACAAAACAAGAATCTAATCAAAATAAACACAGATCATATTCACATGATCATTCAGTTAAATACAAAACTTTGAACAACATGGCTAAGAAACCTGCCCCAGTTACGACCAGTACTACTAGTAAGCAAAATTCTACAAGCCAAAGTCTATCATCGTCTGATAACCGTGTGTCAGCACCAAACGCTA